CATTCCTATAATCCTAGCACATAAAATGTTAAGATTCCGAGATACACCTGGGCTATAATGAAACAGTTTCCAGAAACTAAAAATCAAAGCTTTGGTTATACAGAGGTAGAGCACCTGCGTCCTAGGCCTGTTGTACCTGTGTTCAGTCCTCAGTCCCACAAAAACAAACAACAAAACTAAGCACTAGGATGGGAGGAGAGAAGAATTATTAGGACTTTGTTTTTAAGATTAAAAAAAAAAATTAAATGTGTGAGTGTTTTGCTTGCATGTGCCTAGTGTCCAAGGATTCCAGAAAGGAAGTAGGGGATCCTTTGGAACTGAAGTAATAGATGGCTGTGAACCACCATGTGGGTGCTGGGAATTAAACCCTTGTCTTCTGCAAGAGCAGCCAGTGCTTTTAACTGCTGAGCCATTTCTCTAGTCCTGATTCTTAGTTTTGTGTACTGACATTTCTCTATTCAAGGAACATACTTTTGCAATCCAATGATTTTGAAGACATATAGAATATACTTATCATAGTGACTGACCTGTATGTGGCATTTCTCTGTAATTTTCTGTGTGCTTTATTTTTGCCCTCCTAATAATTCTGAAGTAGATATGGCTATTATCCCTGTTTACAGATAAGGAAACTGAGACACAGAGGTTAAGGCACCTGTCCTGGTATAAGCTGTAAGTGTTAGCACAGGGTATGGTTTCAGTCTGTGCTGTTAACTGTGGTGCTGGTATATGCCACGTGAATACCTTCTACCTTAAGATGGGAATGGGGGCAGTGTGCTCCAGTCTGTTGAGGCCACAGCAGGGGTCATTTTTAAGCTTTTCTAGGTGTGTCTTCTCAAGTTCCTAATGTTAGGGTAGTGGCCATGTGTGTTTAATGCAGAAAATAGAGTTGACTGGTGGCTTAGAAGTCCTTCAGTAAAGTGAAGAACAGAAACCCAGTTCTGTGGGCATTCTTTGATTAAATTCTCTGAGCACATGGTGATTGTCTCAAGACCTGTCTGGAGCCCTGGGTCCCTAGTACTCCTGCCAGAGCAGCCCTGGGCTTTGTTTAAAGCTTTTGTTTATTTTGCACATTGGGCTGTCTACAAGAACCAATCCCATTGGTTTTTACAGACATTTGAAAACCCTACAAGCAGTGGGAATAGGGGAAAGATTGTTCTCTTCGTCCTCCCTCTAGAATAGTTTACAGAGATCTAAATTTAGACGTGCTCTGGCACGTTTGTCCCCACTCCACGGCACTCTGAATAGTTAATTAAACTAGATCTCTCTTAGCGATACTGGCTTTATTTGCTCCTCTTCCTGGGGTCTCATCCATGCCCATCTTCACATAGATGTAGAATGAGGCCAGGTGCTGTTGTGTTCCTGTCTTGTTTGGGATTCATTGGTGATTTCAGGACTGCTGGGGGATAGGCTGCCTTTGATTGAGAGGACAGGCTAACTCTTTAGTAACAGATGCAAACTCCTTAGTGTGGAAGCTGTTTGCTGGTGTTGATGTCGCTGGTTAGTTCTGGCAGCTCTGGGAAGTAGGTCCCCTCTGCCACCAGCTCTGTTGACTGGTGAGATGGAGGACAGAAGGGGTTAAGTGCTGGAGTCCCATTCCTAGGCAGATGAGCTTCTCCCTTAGGGGAGCTCACCCTTATGCTGGATCTGGTGTCATTGCCTCATTTGGAGTGCATTTTAGGGTTTGAGGCATTCTTTGGGTGATTTGGTTTGATCTGCTAAAAATTTAGAGATTTGGCTCTGCTGACCTGATTGGTTACATTTTGGAGGTTGTAGGGTTTTAGTTTTGGGGAATTTTGTTTGTTTTTTCATTTTCTTTTGAGATAGGGCTTTACTCTGTAGTCCAAGCCAGGCTCAGACTCACTCTTGATCATCACTTATCCTGCCTCAGGCTCCCGAGTGCAGATGTGAGCACTCTATCTGGCTGTTGGTCACATTTCCTAAAGCAAAGTACTGTGCAGAAGGGAATGTAGATCATTTCTTTTTTGTGAAGTTGAATGATTGGCCACTGTTACTGATTCCTATTAAAATTTAAGCGCCTTAGTCATTCAGCTTATTGGGCCAATAAGAATTTTCAAGAACATGCAGATTACAAAGGCCAATCCCCTTTTCCTGTGGCCCCACCTCCTTTAACTATTTATCCAAACTTCTCTGCCTGTAGCCCATCTGCAGTGGCTTCTCCCTCCTGCATACAATCAGGACTTAATGAAAACCCTAGAAAGTAGAGGTCTTGGGAGAGAAAAGGGAAGGAACCACCTGATAAGGTACGTTCAGTGTGGAAGAGAAAGACTTGAAAGTGTGGCAGGAAGGAAAGGAGACACACACCGGTGGAACGGAGCCGATGCTCCCCACATCCCTGTTTTTAATTTCATTTTGTTTATTAAGGACCAGCTGCTTTAATGCATGCTCTGGGTTTGGGAACAAATTGAGAGCTTTGTGATTACATTCAGATTTCTACTCCAGGAGCTTTTCAGTTTGTGTTAGTTAGGAGACAGCTGATACCCTGTTGAGATGAGCTGTGTGATGTCTCTAAGTCATGTGTTGGTTTATTTGGTGCAGATCCCGTGGCACCGATGGCAGTATGTTTGTGTGTAACTGAAATGTTGAAGGTAATGGCCTGTGTAGTAAAAGAAGAGGCCTACAGTGTTTGAAGAACAGCCTGAGTTTTCACTGAAGCATTGAGTGGACATAAATGAAGATATAACCAGACAGGAAAGTGGCCGGAAAGCACGTCTTCTTTAGTTTTAGATTTCTACCTTCCGAGTGGATTTAATGAATGAGTTCCTTTGGGAGCAGAACAACATGGATTCGGATTTTCTGTGTGTTTATTTTCTTCAGAATACTTTGGCTTCAGTTTGAGTCAAGTCAGAATTCTTATCTGAACTCAGCATATGGCCATCTGTGTGCACAGGAGGGATTTCAGCCCCACTGTGTTTCTGACTTGTTATCTGACCCGTCCAACAGGTTCCTGGGTGGAGCTCCCCATGAACAGCAGCAATGGCAATGAGAATGGCAACGGGAAGAATGGGGGGCTGGAGCACGTCCCTTCCTCATCCTCAATCCACAATGGAGACATGGAGAAGATCCTTCTGGATGCACAGCATGAGTCAGGACAGAGCAGTTCAAGAGGCAGTTCTCACTGTGACAGGTATGTGAAGGCCCTGTGTGGTGTAAGTCAGGAGTTGAATAGTTATGAAGGTAATTCTCATTAGGAGAGGGCTCGTTTGCTTAAACAGTCATTAAGAGAATAGGCCTCCAGATTTATTGTAACATACATGTTTAAACTAGACAGCTAAGCCAGGCATGGTGGTGCACACCTTTAATCTCAGCACTTGGGAGGCAGAGGCAGCCTGTGAGTTTGAGGCCAGCATGGTCTACATACATCTCGAGTTCCAGGCTAGTCGTGGCTTTATGGTGAGATGGTGTCTCAAGAAAAATTAAAAACTGAAAAGCTAATGGATTGGCACCAGAGTGCTCGCTGTTGTCCCCTCCCCGCATTGTTATTTTTATTCTCAGACTGAATTATTTTCAGGTGTTTCAAATTGAGTAGCAGGCCAGCAAGCTGGTCAAGCTGATGAAGGCACTTGCTGCTAAGCTTTGTTGACCTGCAGTTCATCTTGGGTCCCACGTGGTGGAAGGAAAGAACTGATTTCCTCAAGTTGTCCTCTGGCCTCCACATGCACAGCCACACATGTACAGGTGTCTACACACACAAACTAAATGCAATTTTAAAATGAAAATAAAATTTAGCACCATTAATGTAAACTTACAGAGTTAATGTGAGTTTTCTATTTTCCTTTTTTTTTTTTTTTTTTTTGCCTGTTATGAGTCACAGTAACATTCTATCTCTCTGGGCAGCCAGAGGCAGGGACCATGTGGCCTTTTTGCACCCTTCACAGTAACAGGCTGACACACATGAGGCATTCAGTAAATGCTCTGCTCACAGCACCTGCAAGTTGATAGAGGTTCCAGCCATGTCTGTGTGGCACTCAATAAACAGTGTGCTGAAGGCCATAGATTCTCTCAGAGGAACGGCTACTTCCATCTCACTGCATGACTGTTTCCTTCTGGAGAGCTGATTCCAGTCATTGTGGACTGTTATGATGAGGAGTAAATATACAGAAAGATGTAGGAAGGAGAGGAAAACAAGCGGTTACTTCATTTGCATCTGAGCCTTTTTTCTTTCCCTTCCTGAGAGACTAGGTATTAAATAACATTAACAGTTGTAAGCTGGATATAGGTAAGACATATGTATGGCTTCGTCACTCAAGAGGCTGAGCAGGAGGATTGCCACAAGTTGAAGGTCTGCCCTGGGCTACATAACAGTACATAGTGATAACCCATCTCCAAAAGTGGGGAAAAGTTCCCAGCAGGATAGACTGCTGGATGCCTCAATGATCTGGTTCATTTGCAGCTAGTTGATGATTCACCACGTTGAAGATGCATGTGTGCAGGAAGGAGATTGAGGGGTATTTAAAAATGGAAGCAGCAGGGTAGTTATGTCTGGAGGAGGAAATTTATCTAAAGCACATGGTTAATATTTGAGAAAAAGAGAAAGTTAAACTGCAGCTGACCTTCCTGCATGTCTTATGACCCAGTTCTGTCTCCAAGGCAGCTGGAGGACAGGTTTGTTGGCTGTTTGGCACAGTGAGCACCCTGCCACCTTTGTGTTGTCTCTGTCTCCTGTCACAAGCAGAAGTGAACACGTGGTTCTTTCTCAACACTTGCCATCAGTTCTGGAGGCTGCAGAACTGTCTTTCAGTGTTTTTGTTTGTTTTTGTGACAGGGTCTCTACATAGCCCTGGCTGTCCTAGAACTCTATGTAGACCAGGCTGCCCTTGAACTTACAGAGTTCTTGGGTGCTGGGATTAAAGGTGTGTGCCACTGTGCCTGGCCAGAATAAAGTTTTAGATCCAGGGACCTGCTGAAGGATTTCTAGAGCTTTCTGTTTGGGTTTCTGATGGTTTTCGTCCTCTGTAGCCTATTTTTGTACATGTGCATGCATGAGCCTGATTGTTGGTACCATGTGTCCACGAGCCCATTGTTCACAAGGTGCAAAGAAGTCACTAGCTTGTTGGGCATCCTGTTTAGCTTATGATGGCAGTGATATGTGTGATGGACTGTGAACTCATCTTCCTGGGGTCCGCTTAGTTCAGGTTCCTGAGTGAAGAAGAAGAAGGGCAAAGGGGCTCCCTGGCCGTCTGGTCTCACTGAGACGGTGGGTTCCGGTCCAGTTAGACACTGCCTCACAGTAAGATAGAGAACAACAGAGGGCAGGAGCGAGAGTCCCTTTCAGCTTCCACAGGACACACACTTGGACCTGCACACACATGTGTACAGCAAACATGCACAGCACTGCACTGCAACAGAAAAGGTGCCTTCAAGATGCCTGTCATTTGACTTGAAGTTATCAGGAAGTGTTTTCTTGGAGGTGGAGGGGTTCTTAGGATTGTTGCATAGTAATCTCAGCTGATGTACATTTCCTCCTCTTCTCTTCCCTTTCTTGTCTTGGTACTGAGGACTGAACCTAGTGCCTCTGGCATGCTGGGCAAGAGCTGCTCTGCATCCGTAGCCCTCTTGTGACTCTGGTTTTGGAACTGTCCTGCTGAGTGGCACAGGCTGGGATTAAACTTGCTCTGTAGCCTGGGCAAGCATTGAACTTGAAAATTCCCTTCCCCAGAGTCTAGAATAGCTGTGATTTCAGGCCTACACCACCAGGCCTAGCCTGTTTTACAAATGTTTAGTTTAAAAGTTATCCCATGCCGGTGTGGAGGTACAAATCTTTAATCCCAGCATTCCAGAGACAGAGGCAGGTGGATCTTTGAGTCCGAGGACAGACACTGCAGTGGTGGTTAGATGTCCCAGCATGCCTTGCCTTGTGCTCTGTTCTGCCATCCCAGGCAGTTTCTAAAAGCCAGTGTGGACCTATCCCAGGAGCTCCTCCCTCGGCTATCAGTGCAGGACAAGTGCATCACAGTGTTTACAGGCTCCCAGTTGAGCCTGAGAGGAGCTGGGCTCCCAGCTTGATGGCATTCTGAATCGCCAGATGTGAACAGCTGACCAGTGAAGAAGGGAGCATTTCTCTAACAATATTAGTGTCAACAGCACAGCGTGCGGAGGGAAGCAGCACTTCCGTGGGCTTATCGACCTGTCTCTTTGACTCCCGGGCCTGTTACAGGTATCTGGGGCTGGCCCTTTATGCCATAGTGTTAGCAGCACAAAGACAGTAAACTGAAGACAGGAATTCCTTGTCCTGTGTGTTTTCTGTGCTACAGCTTCTGAAGCCGGACATGCTTGTTCAAGATAAAAATTTTCTAAATTTACATAATGCTTGTTTGATGTGAACCTTTTCTATTCCCATTTAAGACTCCTTTTGAAAAAAGCTGATTTTATATATATGCATATGGTTTTTTTCGAGCATGCATGCTACAGTCTATTGTGTGTAGGTCAGAGGGCAACTTCTTGAATTTGGTTCTCTCCCTATACCTTTACATAAGTTCTAGGAACCAAGCTCAGGTTGCCGGGCAAGAAGTACCTTTCCCCACAGGAGCCATTTCAGCGATCCATACATAATTCTTTCTCCCATACATAATTGTTTCATGATGAAAAACAACTGTTTCCTATAACAAAATTTTGATTTGTTTTGTTTTTGGCGTTTTTGTTTGCTTGTTTGTTTGAGATGGGGTTTTCATAATATTGGCTATCCTGGAACATTGATGTAGGCCAGGCTGGGCTCAAACACACAGAGATCTACCTGCCTCTGCCTCCCAGGTGCTGGGATTAAAGGTGTGTGTCACCATGCTCAGCTCCATCACCAAAAATGTTATGAATAATAGCAATTGTTTTACAATTTTGCAGACCTCTTTAATTTCTGGCTCAACCAGACATCTATATTCTCATCTACTTTTTCGTTCAGTCTGGCAATATCACATACTGTCTTAAGGTTTCTGTGCTATGATGAACACCATGACCCAGAACAATTTGAGGAAAGGGTTTGTTTCATCTTACAGCTTATAGTCCATCATCTAGGGAAGTCAGGGCAAGGACTCTAGGCATGGACCGAAGCTGAGGCCAGGAGGTGCTGCTTACTGGCTTGCTCCTCCAGCCTTGTTCAGCCTATTTTCTTAGGCATCCAGGACCAGCAGCCCAGGGATGGCACTGCTCACAGTAAGCTGGGCCCTCCCAAATTGATCATTAATCAGGACAATTCACTATAGGCTTGTCCACAGGCCCCTCTTCAAAAATGACTCTTGCTGTGTCAAGTGACATGAAACTAGCCAACACGTGTGTCTTGTAGTCTTTAAAAGCTGTAGTATAGCTCTTTCTCTCTGTATTCCCTCTGTCCTCCATGTGGTCTCCCCCCCCCCCCCGTAATAAAAAGCTGTAGTGTATACTCACAAGAGGGTGGCAATGAAAAAGACAAATCCTGATAGGACCATGAAAGCAGGTCATGCCTTACAGAATTCTCTAAAGCAGTGGTTTTCAACTTTCCTAAGGCTGCAACCCTTTAACACATTTCTTTGTGTTATGGTGACCCCCAACCTTAAAATGGTTTTTATTCCACTTCATAACTGTAATTTTGCTATGTTATGATTTTTAATATAAATATCTGATATGTAGGATATTTGATATGTGACCCCTGTGAAGGGGGCTGCAACCCACCAGATGTGAAACGCTGCTCTAAGGAGACTGAGAAATGTTGAAGAGTTGTGTATGCACAACAGTGTTGAGAGACAGTGCTGCGAGGTAGTTCATCAGACAGCACATGCAGACACTCACTCTTAAAGCCGAATAGGAAGCTCGCAGTGCCCGCCAGCGGCTGCACAGGGAGCCAGCCTAAATCATGCATCCCCAAGCTTCACCATTTGTCTTTTATGCACAAAACCCACATCCTGGTTGGCACACTTCAGTTAGCAAGAAGTGAAACTACAGGAGCCAAAAAGCAAGGTTAGTACATTTAGGGCTTTCTTGGTTCCTGGAATTATGGTTTAGGTTTTTGATGGATTAGGTCTTTGCTCCTGCTTTGGCAGGTGTTGGGGCCTGTGTGCTGGATTTTAAGGTCAGAATGGTGCCTCCTGCATGAAGTCAGTTGTGCGAAGGTCTGGGGGCGTGTTCCAAAAGAACTCAGGCTGTTTGGATTTCGAAGGTGATTTCACCATTATTGGACAGTGGCACAACAAGAAAGCATGGTGCTTCTACATCTTCAGGCCATGTACTGTGGCTTGTCACTATGAAGACATTCATTACCCCGACAAAGTCTGAGCTCTCTACAAGATCACCCCATTACATTTGCCACTTACTCTCAACATATGATTTGCTTCTTTGGTGTTAGATAGACTCTAAATTTGTTCCTGTTTCAAAGCTATCTTGCTGTGACTTTCATTTTCTGTTTTTCAGTAAAGTCTTAAGATATGACAGAACAAGAATTAAAACTACTGAATGAGGCTAGCCAGATGGCTCAGTTGATAAAGGTGATTGTTGCCAAGCCCAATGACCTGAGTTCTAGTTCCAGGAGCCCACATGTGGGAGGGAGAATAGACTCCCAATTGTTGTCCACTGACTTTCACATGTGCACCAGGACATATTTGCAGCCACACATGTCCAGAAAAATAAGCAAAGTGTAAAAAACAAATACAAACTAATGACTGAGTGCTCTCTCTCCTAGCCCTTCACCACAAGAAGATGGACAGATCATGTTTGATGTTGAGATGCACACCAGCAGGGACCATAGCTCTCAGGTGGGTGTGTGTTCTACTTGGATTTGGAAAGCACACAAGACTCTCTAAAGTTTGTTGACTGAAATATGGAGCTGGGCTCCAAGCCTGATTGCATTCTGAAGCCTCTGGAGTGTTTCTCTACCAGGATTGGTGCTTATAGCCAGAGTACAGAGGGAAACAGCACCTCTGAGCTCATGGACCTGTCCCTTTGACTGTTGGGCCTGGTCCCAGTTGTATAAGGCTGACCCTTGATGCTACAGCAGGCATAAAGACAGTAAACTGAGGGCAGGGAGTCCTTGTTTCTTGAACTTTCTGTTGTGCTCAACTGAAAGTTACTGGTGGAACCTGAGGGAGGCCTGCAGATGTCTTGTTTGTGGTGTTCTCTCACTGCACAAGCCCAGGCCCCTGTGCTAGAGCTGTGTGCCTAGTGCCATGGTTCTAGTCTTCTGCCAGAAGACTACACAGCTTTCCACACCTCACTGCTCTACCTTTGGCTGTTTTCTGAGGCTGGAAAATCCATGCACTCAGCAGTGGCTTACTTAAGCTCACTTTAGCTGCTCACATGCTGAAACTTGCAACACCAGTTTACTCTGTGATGTACTTTGTTGTATAAAGAAGCTTGGTAGTAATTGGCCGAAATAGTTAACTCTCTTTTGGCCATCTGCAGGATGTTGTAACTGGTGTGGAAAGAGCACATGAAGTGCATGGCAAAAAGAGACCCCTGGGCAGAAAGAAGAGAGGAGGGAGTGGTACTCTGCTACAGTGTTCTTCAGTCTGATAGCTTTTGCTTAGACATTTTCCAAAAAGTGTCTTCAAGAGTAGTCCTCTGTGGGGAAGCTCCATAAACTCACTTGGAAGTCAAATAAGTGGCAGTCCTGCGTCCTTGCCCCATGAGTTGTCTTGTGAGGCTGTGCGGAGCCCAAAGAAAGAACGACACCAGCTGAAGCCAAGTCTTTCCCAAGCTCATTTGCCTTCAGAGCTCTGTCCTCCCGCCCCCAGCCCCCACCCTCCCTGGGCATTTCTGCTAGTTCAGTGAAACACTGATGTGTACAGCCCTGACTCACATGTGGCCACTGAGTTTAACTTCGATTTTAGGGCTGAATGCAGCCATCATAAAACTGGAAAGAAATCTGTGTGTTTTTGTGTGCGTGTGCGAGTGCGTGTGCGTGTGTGTATGTGAGAGAGACAGAGAGAGAGAGCGCGAGAGCGCGAGCGAGCTTGTAAGATTCTGATAGGTTGTCAGTGAGATTGACCTTAAACAGGATAAGCCAAGCCATGGACTGGCCAGCGAGGACAAGCATGGGTTTTGGCAAGGTAGTGTAATGCTATAAAGACAGTGTTGGGTCTGTGGAGTAAGAATTTTAAAATAGGGGAGCGATATTAGTAGATGATGCTTTATATTGCATATAAAGCATTTATAGTTTTAAGATTAAAGAAATAATTGAAAAATTAGTCACCAGGGATTAGGTAAATGATATTTCATGAATGAGAAAGTTTTTTTTTTTTTTAGAAAGTTAAGAACAGTTGACTAAGGCTGTTCATTTTCTTATGTGTGCCTGCGAGGACTAAATAAGATGTCATGTTCCAGCTTTACCCAGAGAACGAGGAAAGACACCAGTGATTACCGATGTGTTGTTCTGGTTGCTAAAATTCTTAGTCCAGTTGGGGGGCTTGGGGGGTAATGTTATTCTACTGGGGAAATGGGGAGAGAGACACTTTGTCTTCATGTGGTTATCACCTAAGATGACAAAGCAAGTCAGTGTTAGAACCAGGACTGAAAGCAAATCTAAGCCTGTGTTCCAGTCTTTCCACTGAAACTAACCTCTGAAGGGAGTCAGTCCCAGGAGACTAGGCATGCACATGAGCTGAGAGGTCTGCAGAACCCTGTGTGGGGATTCCTAAGCAGGCACAGCCAGGGCAAAGTGTTCCTCCTCTTACTGAAAGGATGATGGTATCGATGAGGCTCCATTGTGTAGCAAGAAATCTACTCAGTCTCATGCAGACTCACAGTCTCATGAAGGCATTGTGTTATTTTTTTAGGATGGTCCAGCATGGGGTTGCCGTCTTTGGAAATAGCCTCCTTTTTGGTCTTGTGAGACTGCTTTATCTATACGTGGATACAGGCATGAAATTTAATATCCTTGTTTAGAGACCTTAAGAGAGCTGGAGGTGGGGCAGAGAATGCAGAATTAAATGAGTATGAAATAAGGACCAACCCTCCCACCAGGACGGTTTGAGGGGATGAGCGAAGAGCAAGTCCTGTGTGGTTAGATGAGGTGCCCTTGTGCCATATTCTTTAATTACAGGGAGATGATTCAAAACCTCAAAACATCATGGACCAAACATGATGTTAAGATCTGTATCGTAGTTTCTGAATTCAGAGCTGAGAATCATGAGGTCTGAAGGCTAGCCAAGGCTGTAAGGAAGTTTGAGGCTAGCCTGGAGTGTTGGGTGAGGCTGTCTCACCCACCCTCTCCCTAAACCTGGGACTGGCAAGTTTAAGATTAATAAAGGAAATGCAGAGCTCTAGTAAACATTAAAGTAAGTTTAATGAGAGAAATATGTCTATGGATTAAAACAACTGTATGAGTCCAAAAGTAACTTTGTTTCATTCCCCTGGAGAAAATCCCATTATCTTGAAAAATTCAGAGCACAAATTTCACTTTGTTTTTTCTGAAAATGATAAAATACTAATTTGTTCAAAAACTCCTAAACCAAACCAGCAAGCAGTTAGAATCCTGGGATGCCCGAGGAGGAACTGAGCAGAACTAACTGCTGTAAGGCTGGAGAGTAATTACTGAGGTAAAGCCCTTGTTAGCATGCTGGAGGTCCTAGGCTGAAGTCTCCAGCATTGCTGAAATCAAACCAAAGTAAGAAGAGGGCCAGCGAGGTGGCCTGACCACCTCAGTCCCACCCCACATTGGAGCCCCAGCCCCCACGTGGTGGAAGGAGGAAAGCAGCTTCTACACGTGTGTGCTCTAACACAGGCACCACCCTCCTAACTAAACAGCACCACACAAGTCAAATCAGAACAGGCCGGAGACTCACAAATGATGAGCCCAGACTGCTCAGTGCTTGCATTGTGACTGCTGACTTGTTTCTGCCTGGGATGACTTCAGGGTTACTCCAGAGAGCCAGCTCATGATGCTGAGGAATCTCAGTGCCTACTGGACAAAGCTCCGTCCATCCGTCCATCCGTCCATCCGTCCTAAATGCTGCATTGTGTTGTTATTCAGTGGAATCTGCCAGCTTCAGCAGAACTAGAGAAGGACAGAGCTGACAAAGGGGTGCAAACATCCCCTGCACTTTGGCCTGGATTTGGTGGTCAACTGGCGTTATGTGTAGAGCCAGGCTTAAGCTCCTTTCCCAGACTGCTGAGTCACTAGGAGCTGGAGCTGTGGACAGTGTCTGTGAGTGGACCAGGGGGAGCTGTGGACAGTGTCTGTGAGTGGACC